GGGATTCTTACACTACAACAAAATCTGGTTTATAAGATACTGTCAAAATCTAAGTGTCATAATAGACCTCTTTATAGGACTAAAAAAATTAAATGTCCTATCTAAAGGTGTTATAATAAGTTTATATGACGTTTTTGACGTCGTAATATGTTTTTAGGACACTTTTAATATAAAGCGTCTCATTATCAAATTTATAGGACACTATTTGAAAAATTATCTATAAAAACAAATATCTTATAAAAATTGAGTTTATAAGACACTTTCTCAAAAGTGTGGTATAAAGTTGCTAATACGACACTTTGTATTAAAAATGTCCTAAAAAACTTGTTAAGACGCTCAAAAGCGTCATATAAACTTATTACAACACATTTAGATAAAACACTTTATATTTTGTAACTATAAATTAAGTCATTTAAAACGGTCTATTCTGACGCTTAGAGATTATGAGTATCCTATAAACTCAATTTTATTGTAGTGAATGTCTCATTAAAATATCTTATAAATCATAAATATTTAGGGCAAAATGCAACTAAGCTAAAACAAATGATTTAAAAAAAAATCAAAATCTAGTTGACTGTTATTTTTAATTAACCGTGAGTAGTAAGTTTAACATTAATTGGGTGGTTTGTACGAAACCTCCTTCTTTCTATTTCTTACATGTATTTTTCTTTCTTTTTGCTAGTTTTTGTTAAAATCTATACCGTTTGAAAAAAAATAGCTATGCGTACGTTAGTTTTTATTATCTACTCTTTGTAAATTGTTCTGTAATTAAACGGATATACACATCATTAAATGCTATAAAATTAACAATTTAATAATAATAGTTATATAAACTATAAATTTTGAAACATCAATTAAAAAATTGTTGGATATATTTTGTTATATATTTTTAGGCAAAATGCACAAAATAGTTATCTACTTTCATAATTTTTTTATTATAGTATTGTAATTTCAGTTTTTCTTATTACAACAATGTACTTTCAAACTATTTTTTATTAGAACATTGTACTTTGAAAAATTTATCCATTATAGCATTGAGTAACATTTTGATTTAAATTTACCCATTATACCAAGTTTTCATGCCACCTCATTATCCACGTAGGTTGTCCACATTTACTATAGTGATGTGACTTTCTTATTAAAACATTGTATTTTTTGAATTATTTTATTATAACATCTACTAGTTTTTATTAAACAATGTATTTTTAATTTTAATATTTAGATATTTTACATGTTTTTAATAAATAAATTAAATGAATTAAAAAAATTCAAAAGTAAAGACAACTTATCTCGTTAATATTTTCAAAAAAATATGTGTTTTTTGAAAAAAGAAAATAAGAATTTTTTGTTTTTTACAAAAAAAATCTTATCTTTCAAATAATATATTATATATGTTCAAAAACTTTTACTTAACGTATAAATATATTAAATTAATTAGATTTTTTTGAATTATGCATTAATATAACAATATTAAAAAATTATAGAACACAAATAAATTTCATTAACATTTTGGAGAGAACTTTAAAAAATATGTATTTTTTTGAACAACATAAAATAAGAAGTGTTGTTTTTTTTACAAACAAAATATACCTTAAAAATAATGTAGCATATTTATTTAAGAAATATATTACTCTAGAATATTTAATTTGCATGCAACTTAATAAGAAAAAGTCAAAAAATTAAGTGTTTTTTTTAATCATAGCAATGAAAAATGAAAATCAATAATAATAATTTGAAATAAGTTTTTATTTTTATTTTAATTAAGACATCAAAATGATGTGTCATCCGCATCAACTCATTAAAGCCACACAAGCAAAAAAAGTCAAAGGGTTAACTGGTTTATAAGGTAACATGTTACCCATTGCTATAACGGATAGATTTTTTAAAATTCGATGCCTTAATAAAAAATAATTTGAAAGTATATTATTATAATAAAAAAAACAAAAATAGAATGTTATAATAAGAAAAATTATAAAAGTAGATTGTTATTTCACGCATTTAACCCTATATTTTTTTGTGTAACGTGTCAAAATTAGAGCCTATTATTAAAAGTCAGTTTTTTCCACCACTAATGGTTACAAATATTTCAAAAATAATTTCTTATTGTCATGCAGGTACTTGATGATTATCACGAATTAAGAAATATATAACTATATAACTATATATATATATATATATATATATATAACTATATAACTATGTATATAACTATATACAGGCCCGTTTCTGACATTTTTTAGGCCCTGGACGAACATAAAAACAGGGCCCCCCTGCAAGAAACAAGACTTTTAGCAATGACTTTTGTTGTCGTTAAAAGTCCATTTATCATTAGAAAGAGTATATAACAACAACATGTCATCGCTATAACTTATTAAACATGTCATCGCTAAAAGGCGCATCGTCAAAACTCACTTTTCTTGTAGTGACCTTCGGTAATAAATGTTTTTTATTAGTATAAAATTGAGTACAAGAAATGTTAATAATTTACCGAGTAAAAAATCTTATTTATCTATATTATAGATATATAATAGAGTACTTAAATTTACGTACTTCTTATTATGTAATTTCAAACCAAGAGTATAGAAACTATGGTTGATAAATTTTTATAAAAAGTAAGAAAATTTTACTTTATAACAAGAAATATGTGTTATTTTGATACAAAAAGAGATTTCGTGTTAATGAAATAATCATGAGGTCAATGAAAAATCAATAATAAAGAAGATTATCAAGGTTTTCTAGACAAGTAGACAAATAAAGATTAATAAGAATATGAAAAAAAAGATGATCCATTGAGATCTAGTAAAAATAAATAATGAATTAAATATATAATATGCAAGTTCAACAAATGATTGTTTGAGCATTTAAATAGAATCTTGTGGTGTGGTGGAATCCCAATGAAAGATACATAAGTCAAACAATTGATGAAAATATTTAAATTCTATTTTTTTTCTTTTTTTGCTCAACTAAAATAAGATGTTAATATTAAAAGTTTATGGAACATAACATATATAAGAAACATTACTAAATACATCTAATAGAAAAAATTTATTGATTAATCACAAAACCATGAAACACGTCATAAATCATAAGATCAATAGATTAATTGTAAAAAAAAAGTAAAATATTTTATGTAGAAGCAAAAATAGATAACAATAGTCAACAAAAACAATTAGAACAACATAACCAAATACCAATAGTCAATAAAAATAGAAATTGAYAAAAATATCTAACAAAAATATATAGCAATAGCAAGCACATGATCTTAACGTTGAMTTRTTGAARCACGAAAATAGTCAAACATATAGAGATAGCTAGGGTTGTAAACGAACCGAACGAACACGAACAGAGGCTTGTTCATGTTCGTTCGTTTAACTTAACCGAACAAATGAACGAACACGAACAGTAAACGAACGAAAATCTTTGTATTCATGTTCGTTCATTTAGAAATCAGGTATGTTCGTGTTCGTTTATGTTCGTTCGTTAACATGCTAAACGAACGTAAACGAACAGACATAAACGAACAGGCTAAACGAACATAAATAAAAATTATTTGAATTCAAAGTAAATAATAAAAGATTATATATTAAATTTAATATATAAATTAACAGTAAATGAACGAACGTTCACGAACATAAATGAACGAACGAGACTCTTGTTTATATTTGTTCGTTTAACTAAACGAACACAAAAATTTGTTTATGTTCGTTCATTTATTAAATAAACGAACATAAACGAACTCCCGCCGAACGGTTCACGAACTGTTCACTGAACGTTCGGTTCGTTTACAGCCCTAGAGATAGCAATAGCCAATATCATTGGATCTTGTTGGAGATAAAAAAAAATTATAAGGATAATAAACAATAGCATATAATGAATGATCAATTAATTTTTGTTATTTTCTTCTCCAATGTAATTAGTTGATATATTTTTGGACCCTTATTATCTACTAAATTATTTTTGTCTCTTATTATATGCTACAATTTTTTGGTTTCTTTAATTTATTAAATTATTTTAGACTACTATATTCTTTAAGAAGAAAATTTGGGCCCCTAATATTTTTGGGCCCTGGGCGTGCGCCCGTGCCGCCCTCCCCCGGGACGGCCCTGACTATATATATATATATATATATATATATATATATATATATATATATATNGCCCTGACTATATATATATATATATATATATATATATATATATATATATATATATATGTTTCCAGAATTGGTGATAATGCATAGTCCCTTGATGTTCCAGAAAGTCGCAAGCTGATGTTTGTGTGGCTAACAAGGTCAATTTACATATATCATCGATGTTGTTACAAATGAGAACGATGACAACACGTCTACGTCTTTAAATAAGTTCGTTACATCTTTAGTTTCAATTTCGTCCACCTCCACTCTCGCATTCACTTTCGGTCAAATTTACATGCATAAAAATTTGTTAAAGAAATTTTTATGATACAGAGGTAAATAAAAGTAGATGAATGAAGACGTGTGAATCTGGTGGATATATATGCAAGGGGATCAAGGTAAATGGAGATATATGCAAGTGACGAAAAACGGATGAAGGTCCAATACCAAAAAGTTGTTCTCATCGGAACCCAACCTACAAAAATTGCAAGAGTCGAATTTCATAGGGATTTAGGGGGTGTTTGAGATTGCTTATTTGAAACAGCTTATTCTTTTATATAAAAGTTCTTATCAACTTATTAAAAGTTAGAATGTTTAACTTCTTCAAAAGCTCCTTATTACCAGTTTGACACCGGTATAAGCTGTTTATCCAAACACTTAAAAGTGTTTATTATCAGTGTCGCACCAAAATAAGTCAATAAGTTGTTTTTACAAACAATCCAAAACACCCCCTTAGTCCCTTAAATGAAAACCTTTATGTTAAAAGATAACACACCCTATTCACTATAAATATATCCTGAATTTTTATGAACTCTTCATCCGTCAAACCCAACCCTATTTGCTCTCTGTCTCTCTCTCACACACAAACATGAGTAAATATTCTCATCTTCTTACCATTGGAAGATCTAAAGTTCTCTCTATCTTAAATAACAAATGGGTTCATGAAAGTTGTCTAATTAGATCATACCACCCTCAACCACCATTCGCCACCCTCAACCACCACCATCTTCACAACAGTTGTAGTAGGGTTAGTACTGTTTCACACTATTACCATAATCACCACCACCATTCTCAACTATCCACTATCCATACGTTAGAACTCCCAAAACATGAGGGTGATTCCCCACTCGACTACCAAGTGACCGTGAAAGATAGAGACATCATTTCTGCTTCTTGTGCACCTCTGCACGAATACTGGCTTCCCCAATCCAACCTAGACCTACTCCTACCGCCACTTGAGGCCGGAGTTTTCTTTTGCTACAAGAAAAAGGACGACACTGTTATGTCACCTGGAACTGTTGTGAAGACCATCAAGAAATCTTTGGGCAGGGTGTTATCGACATTTTATCCGCTCGCCGGAGAGATTGTGTCGAACAGCCAAGGTGAGCCGGAGGTGCTGTGTAACAACTGTGGGGTCGAATTTGTACATGCCCATGCTGATGTGGAACTGAAAACCCTAGATCTGCACCACCCAGATGAGAACGTGAGCGGGAAGTTGGTCCCTAAGATAAATCGTGGTGTGCTCGCGGTGCAGGTAAAACTAAATGCTTTCAATATTTGTATTTGGGTCATTACACTTACAGGCTGTTTACCTAAACGCTTACCCGGTAAGCATTTACCGGTAAAAAATTCAATATAATTGTTTACTTACCGGGTAAGATTTTATTCACTAATACGCAACGTATGCAACAATTTATCCCGGTAAGCATGGTAATAGTCATCGTGCTCACTTATCAGGTAAGACTCTCGATTCTTGTATTTGCTCTTACCGGTTAAGATTTTTAGTCCTTGTCATATTCATTCGGTAAAGTAAATTGGTAAACGCTTACTCGGATAAGCGTTTGATAAACGGAACCTAAATCTCCTTATCTCACAAATAAAATGTCTGAAGCTGACCACAAAATCTGAATCTCTTAAGTGAGGATCATAATATAACCCCTTTGTATTTTATAATTATAGTTTTGCTACATTGATTGAAAAAAAATATATATTTATTACATTAAATAAGAATTAAAACAAAAATTGTTGTTTTTTAATGCATTTTTTGTTTAAATATCATGGGTTGTAAACATAAGTTTTGCTATTTTATTTTATAAAGGGATGTATGTGTATTGATAATTAGGGGCCATTTACCCAATTGCTTACCCGGTAAACGTTTATCGATAGGAATCAATACTATGATTTACTTTGATGCACAAGATTTTAGTACATTAAAACATATCGAATGCAACAATTTACTGGGTAAGCGCTTACCTGGGTAAGAGTCGTCATCCTTACTTACCGGGTAAGACTCTCCATCATTCTAATCGCTCTTACCCGGTAAGATTCTTGGCCCTTCTCATGTTCATCTGATAAGAAAATTTATCCGGTAAGTATTTACCAAGTAAGTGTTTGGTAAACGGTCCCTTAATTGAATATGAAACAAAGAATGACATATAAATGAAAAACAATAAATCATATATTATATGAATTGAATGGTCCTTCGAGAATGTATTACCTCATACTCAGACCCAATTTTATTTCTAAAAATACTAACAACAAAAATACTATTATTTAAGAGGTTAACCCACAACCTAATATACAATTATAATCGTTACTACCATTATGCTACGATACACTACAATAAAATCGGGTTTATAAGACATTTTCAAATTCTAAGTGTATTAATAGACCTCTTTATAGGACTTAGTTTATAAGACAAAAAAAAATATCTTATCTAAAGGTGTTGTAATAAGTTTATATGACCTTTTTTAACGTCATAATAAGTTTTTTAGGACACTTTTGTTATAAAACGTCTCATTATCAACTTTATAGGACACTATTTGAAAAACTGTCCTATAAAAACAAATGTTCTATAAAAAATTGAGTTTATAGGACACTTACTCAAAAGTGTCCTATAAAATTACTAATGCTACACTTTGTATTTAAAATGTCCTAAAAAACTTGTTAAGACGCCCAAAAGCGTCATATAAACTTATTACAACACCTTTCGATAGGACGCCTTGTATTTTGGTCCTATAAAACGGTCTATTGGGACGCTTAGAGATTGTGAGTGTCCTATAAACCCAATTTTTGTTGTAGTGATAGATTTTCAATAATTTATCTCTCATTTTGATTTTATTGTTTTTTTCGCATGATTTATTTTTCTTTCTAATGTCGATTCATCTTAAAAATCATCGTCTTCTATCTCATTTTCAAGACAACATATATTTATTATTAAGATCAAAGTCGATTCCGTTTCAACTTTTTCTTAAGCCAAACCGTGTTAGCTTTCATCTCAAATAAACCATAATTTAACGAATCTTTTTGATCTATTTTAAAGATACAGTTGTTAAAAATAATTGGGTCTCCACTGTTGATGAGCACAAACGTCTGCAATGTGAACCCATATTTATTTATAATTATAAAGAATCTAGATGCACGTTTTTTATTGTCATGCTTTGATGTGAAGGAAGAACATGAATATTTTTTTTAATGAATAAAAACAAAAATTGAATTATTTACTAAATAAAATCATAAATTTCTTAAAAAAACAAACAGGTTAAAAAGAAGGGGGTTGATATTGATACCCCCGGCATACCTTTCTACCCCCCTGCACCTTGTCCCTCACCTCACATTTTTTTTCATACTCACATGATTTGCACATTCACACACTCACACGATTTTAATATAAAAAATTTAAATTTACACTTTATACCCTTATAATTAGTTAATTAATTTACTTTATACTCTTTCCTTTTAAAATTTTCATTTTATACCCTGATCAAATTAACATACATAATCATATATCAATTAAAATATGTTAAAAAAATACGTTTTAATTTTAACAAGTTACACCATTATAATCGTCACGTCAATACCTTCGAAATAAGCCCAATATTGAATATTTTTTGACTTAATTATATCATTATATATATTATATACTATGAAAAAATATTTTTAATATTTACATTTATAGTTATTTATTTAATTTATGATATGTCATTTGTTTTTTCAATTTTTGTTTTACATCATTATCACATAAAAATACATAATTTTATATTAACTAAAATACGTTTTAGCATGTCACGTTAAATTAGCTCTTATATATATCAAGTAACATGTTACATTATGAACAATAATATCGACATTAAGTACAAAATACGTTAGAAAAATACGTTTTAACATGTGTACTCGTTTACATAATTGTAAAAATAATTTGATTTGAAATAAAGTAAAGTTATTGATTTGAAATAAAGTAAAGTTATTGATTTGAAATAAAATAAAGTTATTGATTTGAAATAAAGTAAAGTTATTGATTTGAAATAAAGTAAAAAAAATCGATATATATATATCGAACAAACGAATTAATCGTTCATTCGATTTCACTCTCTTATATAACTCTCTTATATAACTCTCTCATTCTTCTTCAATATATAACTCTCTTATATAACTCTCTCATTCTTCTTCAATATATAACTCTCTCATTCTTCAATATACATCAAATATGGGAGAAGATTTGATAACAACACCAGAATTTTTCACCAACGAGGTACAATATTATGTTAATTGATATTTAGATTTATTAATACTTACTTGTACAAATGAAAGTTATAAATTTTTGAAGATGCAAGTACATGGATTGTCCCGTATCAACATAGATTCAGTGCATATGAAGAATATATAGAGCGTACTCTTACTCGTGAATATGTTGATTTAACATGAAAAATCAAAGTTTTAATTAATAAATTTAATTTATATTTGAHATATGTATTATTAATATTTTATTAATATGTATTATTAATATTTCATTAATATGTATTATTAATATTTTATTAATTAATAATAATATAAAACATGTTAAAAAAGTAAAAGGTTAAAAGTTAAAATATAAAAAAATTAGGGTTAAAAGTTAAAATATTAAAAGGTTAAAAATGAAAATATTTAACTTTTGTCTTTTTATTGTCTTTTGTCTTTAGTGTAGGAGGGGGTGGGGATTTTGGGGTAGCAGGGGGTGGGGTTAGAATACCCTAAAAAGAAACATATTGTCCCTCAAATCTTTGGTACCATACAATTTAGAGGACATCCTAATATTTTTTAAAATTAAAAACAAAAAGTCAAAATTAAAAAGATTACATTGATTATTGAGAAAGTTTTTTTTATTTTTATTTTAAAGATTCTATAATTAATTATATTATTACCTTCACTACCACCACCTCCTCTTCCTCGACCACTGCCACTGCTGCCGGCTGCCATTACTACTATACCACAACCGTGAATCACTTCCACCATTGCGAGCCTTCGGTCATTGGCCACTGCGCACCTCTACCTCCTAGATATCCACCACCTTCAAATCTACTTTCACCACCGCCAACCACCTCCACCTCCATTTCCTGTGGCCACCACCAGCGCTACTAGCGCCCCCAATTCATATAAGGTTCTACTAAACCGATTTTCACTCCTACGAATTGAGTTTCTTTTGAATTATTGGTGTAATATATGTGTGTCTGAGAAAATTATTTAAGAATGTTTATAAATTAAATATTATTTGATTTGTGTCATTTATTATCGCTTTTATATAATCATTAAACATTTAGGGATAATCTGGTCATTTTAATAGTTTCGACATGTCCTATCCAACTTAACAAACACGATACAAATAATTTGTTAAGTCTTGTCTTAGAGGTCGTTTACTAAACACTAACCCGGTAAACACTTACTGGTAAAATTTCAACGTTATCATTTACTTACCGGATAAGATTTTACTTAACAAAAACGACTTTATATGCAACAATTTACCCGGTAAAAGCTGACCATCATAAGAGTCATTGCCCTTATTTACCGGATAAGATTCTCGGTCCTTGCTTTCCTCTTACTGGGTAAGATTCTTGGCTTTTGTCATATTCATCCGGTAAGATAATGTAATTTGGTAGACGCTTACTCAAGTAAACATTTAATAAAGGCCTCTTAGTCTTAACAAATGTTAGATAACAATTTATCATGACATGTCAGATTCAATCATATATGTTGTATTATCTACATACAAAATACTACTTTATCAATCTTATTAATTAACTTAAAATTTCTTTTGAAAGGGACAAGGTTCAATTTGATTTTAAAATTTCATAAGATTAAACAATGAAATCGACGGATGAGGTTGGTTCGCACGGTTTGTACAAATTGGGTGGTTAGCATTTGATCGCTCCTCTATATATGTATATATATGTGTGTCTATATATATATATATACATATATATATATATATATATTGGTTTTGTTATGGAAAAGTATAACTTATGTCTTGCTATCAAGTTTCACCTGTAAAGAAGAAATATTGGTAAAGGGGGGTTGGGATTTTGGATGATTGGATATATATATATTCAAACTTCAAATGGAGGAGATGGTAGGAAAGATCAAGCTCTATTTATACTAAAAAGTCATGTAATTCTACAATGAAACAGGTGACCGAGTTGAAATGTGGAGCGATAATAGTATCGTGTGCTTTTGATCATCGTGTTGCTGATGGTTACTCTTTGAACATGTTCTTAGTTGCATGGGCTGAGTTTTCCCAATTTAAACAAATTTCCATCACTCCATCGTTCCGCCGTTCAATCCTCGACCCACGACGCCCACCTCGTTATAACGCAATCTTTGATAACATGTATCTTCCCTTATCATCACTCCCTCCACCACATCCCTGTGAACACCAGCTTCATAGTCGGATCTACTATATTAAAAAAGAATCACTTAATCGTCTTCAATCTGAAGCCAACTCAAAAGAAACAAGAATAAGCAAATTCCAGTCTTTAACCGCATTTATATGGAAATTATTAGCTCACCAAGCCGACAATGATGTGAATCGAACATCTAGAATGGGTGTTGTCGTTAGTGGACGACGGTTCCTGACTGGAAATAGTGAGAAAGAATCATCCATGTTAGAAAACCACTTTGGAAATATACTATCTATCCCATATGGCGAAATGAACAATTGTTGTCTGCAAATGATGCCACTTAATGAAGTTGCAGACAAAGTTCATAGCTTTGTGACAAAAGCAACAACAGAAGAACATTTTAGGGGATTGGTTGATTGGGTGGAGTTGCACCGCCCTGAACCAGCAGTTGCCAAGATATATTTTAAGCTACACGAGACTGATGGGGAGGCCATAGTTGCGTCATCTGGACAAGGTTTACCAATTAAAGATATGAACTTTGGATGGGGGAAGCCAGAGTTTGGGTCGTATCATTTCCCTTGGGGTGGTCAAACTGGATATATAATTACGATGCCGAGTGCCTCGAAGAATGGAGATTGGGTTGTTTACATGCATCTCAAACAAAAGCACTTGGATTTGATCGAAATGAACACACCCCACATTTTCAACCCCTTGACATACGATTATTTAAGTTTTCATTAATGTTTATTCAAAGATTGTATACATGTTCTATATGTTTCCTGCTATTTTTCTTAATTTCTTTCCTTTACTTGTAGTTTAAAGTATGTAGTGTTTTAAGATGTGTGATCAACTTAATGTAGATTGTTCCATGGATGGTTTTAATGTAATATATAGTTCTTCTTGAATGATGCTTGGTTACATATATATCATTCAAAGTACTTCATCTCAACTCAACATCAAGAATTGCGAAAACCGGTTAAAACTAAAAACGCATTTCATACTTCACAAGCATACAAATGTATTGAAGGATGTGATATGAAACAAAAAGCTTTTGTGTCGAGTACTATGGATCTCTCGTCCCATGTTGGTGGTTGCCTTGTCATATCGACACAAGGGGCTGCATGGTCCTCGGTTTTCGCTAGCTCCAAGTCTCCTATGATGGGACGTGGTATGGGAGAAATTCCCTTCTAACAAGTTTTGGGATTTCATCACACATACAGTAGTATAGAAAAGTCCATTTCCTATCTCACTTTGGTCATATCCTTCTTCAAGTACTACTTCTTCCTAATGCATATTATGTTAACTGATGATAAATTTTCTACACGACATCAAAAGTTTCTTGCAGCAATCGTTGCAGGAGTTGAGTCACGATCTTTCAAAGAGGTTGTCGGATGAAGGTTGGTGTAAGGCTATGTTGTCCAATATGTGCATAGGATGATAATGGTATGGAGCTTGTACTTCCTTAAGGAAGGCATGCTTCACGAGCAATTTATATATAGTTACACAAGATCAAGTACAACTTGAATGATACTATACTAAGTGGCTTAAGGCTCGTCAAGTTATTTTTGGTAATCAACAACTTGTCGGGATAGATTATAGGTGTTCCCTCCATGGAACAACTTATTTCAAACTCCATATATATATATATATATATATATATATATATGAATGTCCATAATGACTCTTTACATGACGATCTAGACGATACTAGTACTATTTATTTGAATTTTCCTTCATGGTTGATGTTAAAATATATAATGTATTTGTTCAATCTTTGACCTTGTCATTTATTTTTAATTTACTTGTGTTGGTATATTTGTTAGGTTAAATTAAAAGAATTATTTTATGGCATGAATAGAGATTGATTGTAGATATTAGAAAAGTTGATGGATGAGAAGGTGAGAGGGACTATGACTACTTATTCAAAAGAAAAGATCAAGGGTATCTGACCAATTTTCTAAGGTAGTGTTTGGTATGCAGATATAATTGGACAGGAATGGATAGGACAGAACTGAACAGGACAAGAGGATAGGATTGGACAGGAGTGGACGAGACTGGATTGGACAGGACAAGTGTATGTCTGGTGTTTGATACGACTACGACTGGACGGGACAGAACTAGACAAGTTATCCTCAAAAGTAATTTGATGATTTTAAATATTATATAATAGTTAATTAACACAAATAAAGCAAATGATTAGATAATTTAATTTACAAGTACTTTTACCTAGTTTTCATATAAATGAATACATACATATATAACGGTACCAAATTTGAATGAAACTTTTGACATAATTGACGATAGTAGTAGTGGTGATGTAGGTGGTTTTGGTTATGGTGAAGGTGGTGTGGTCGACAGTAGTAGTGACAATGGGCGATGGTTATCGATGACCGACGATAGTTATGGAGGTAGAGGCAGTAGTGGTTGGTGGACGATGGTGGTTACAGAGGATGTGAATATGATGGATTGTGGTGGTGGTGGCGGTTGACAACGGTGTAGGAGGTAGTTGTGGCTAATGTAGTGAAGATAGTGGTGGTGGTTGTTATGATGGAGGTGATGTGGCAATGGACGGTGGTGGTCGATGGTGGAGGTGGCAATGAATGGTGGTGATCGGTGGGCGATGGTGGTTGTAGAAGTGGCAATGGACAGTGGTGGTCAGTGGTCGATGGGGGTTGTGGAGGTCATGGAGGAGGTTGTTGTGATATAAGAGGAGTTGGACGTGGCCAACAGTGGTAATGTTGGTGGTAATTGGTGGTGGTGTTCAGTGATTGATGGTGGTTGTAAAGGTGGCAATGGACGGTGGTAGTCGGTGGTCAACGGCGGTTGTGGAGATGGTAAATGAGGTTGTTGTAGTAGAAGAGGATTTGGAGGTGGCGAATGGCGGTAGTACCGGTGACAATGGACGGTGGTGGTTGGTGGTCGATTACGATAGAGGTGGCGATGGATGATGGTAGACGGTGGTTGTGAAGAAGGTGGAAGATGTTGTTGTAGTGGAAGAGGAGGTGGAGGTGGCCGCCGGTGGTAGAGGCGGCCGAAACTAGTGGTGATGACCATTAAAACAAATACCATATCAAGGTTATATATCAAACTAGGGTGGCTTAGTAATATTTTAGTTTTTGTCTCATTCTTGTCCCATCTTGTTCCACATATTTTGGTGGAACAAGAAAAAGTCTCTCTTGTCCCAATGATTTCTCACCTTGTCCCAGTTCTTGTCCTTGTCCCATGCCACATCAAACGTGGGACAATGAGTTCTTGTTCTGTCTCATGCTGCGCCAAACATGGGACAATGAGTTTTGTCTCGTCATGTCCTGTCCCTTCCCAGTGTACCAAACACAGCCTAAAGTTCAAGGATTCCGTAGCTCGGCTATATAATGAAGTCGCTGGTTTGTCTCTATGGGCAAAATTCAAGTTTTCTCATTTAGAAAACATATCTTGTGCTCTTAGGTGTAGTTTGGCAATTGTTGAATAGTTTGGTGCAGAATGATTATGTGGTCAAAATGATTAAGAGACTCTTATAATATAGTGCAAAATAAAATATAATTTTTTGGTAATTATTCAGAATGAAATCAGGGTGCTGAATGGTTTAGGGAGGCTCAAGATACAAAATCATCAAATGGCTTTAAAACCATTATGAGAAGACTTATGTTAAAACTGTTTTCTCTTTTGTTTCAAGAAAGGAATCTTATAAGGGGATAAACTCATCTCAACCCTGCACTAAGCCACGACATTCTACCTTTTTAAGTAAAACCATTGACAATAAAAAGAGATTAGGCAGAACCTCCATACTTGTGTGTAAGCATTGTGGCATTACTAGACATACCATCAAAAGGTGTTTTAAACTCATAGGGTTTCCAAAAGACTTTCAAAATCAACCCAGACCACATAATCAAAATTTTAAATCCTCAGCCAGTAATGCTTGTATCTCTGAATCTCTCTCCTAAAACATCTGGGTTTATTTCATCCTTCCCATTTTCGGAGGAATAGGTTGCTAAAATACTTGGGTCAATAGATCAGAAACACACATCTGAAGGGGCAACTGCCAATATGGTAGGTATGTTCAAATATCCTCCATCAGGTTGGATAATTGATTCTGGTGCCAACCAACATATGACATCCAACACCCTTAATCTTGATAATGTTATGGATGTGTCTGAGCTAAACCTTAGGGTGTGTCACCCTAATGAAACAAAGGCAAGGATAAATAAAATTGGAAATCTTTAACTCTCTAATAATGTAACCCTCTTTGATGTGTTGGTTGTTCCAGACTTCAATGTTAACCTGTTATATGTGCACAAATTGACTAGAGATAACAAAGTTTTTGTAGGTTTTGATGAGTCAAGATGTTATGTTCAGGATTTTCTTCGAAAGAGTGTTATGGGAACTGGTAGTCAGAAAGGTGGATTATATTTCTTTGATGAAAATCTTAAAAGTGAGTCACCTTTTCCTTCTCATAATATCAGCATGACTTGTTTTACGTCTGCTCAACTGTGGCGTAGTCGTCTTGGTCACCCAGCGGGCCAAGTCTTAAAGGTTTTAAAAATCATCTTAAAATTGGAAATGAAGTATGTGGCCCTTGTGAAGTTTTTCATAAGTCAAAACAAACCCGGGATAAATTCAATTTAAGCCTTCATAAGTCCAAAAATCTTGGTGAATTAGTTCATTTGGATGCTTGGGTCCCTATCATGTTCAAAGTAGGGAAGGTTATAAATATTTTCTCACTATTGTAGATGACTTTACTCGAGCTGTTTGGGTTTACCTTTTGAAAGGAAAACATGAGGTTGGTGATAATGTTGAAACTTTTTACAATCTGCTTAACACCTAATTTGGAAAATATGTTAAAATTTTTAGAAGAGATAATGGTTCTGAGTTCACAAATCAAAAGTTAAGTGATTTTTTTAAAACAAAAGGGACCATACATCAAACATCTTGTGTTTATACTCCCCAACGAATGAGGTTGTTGAACGAAAGCACTGTCATTTACTTAATATATCTAGAGCTCTTATGTTTCAGGAAGGGGTTTCGTTGAACATGTGGAGTGAGTGTATTCTCACTTCTACGTATCTTATAAATATGACACCTTCGTCTGTTTTGAATGGTAAGTGCCTGTATGAGCTTGTTTATGGATTCCAACATGTTCTTACCTATCTTAGAAATTTTGGATATATGTGCTTTGCTGTTATACCTAACATCATAAAGAAAATTTGTCCTAGATCTGAAAATGCATTTTATTGGGATATGCTAATTCAAAAAAAAAAGGATACATACTCTATAGTTTATATTCGAACAAAATCATTGTCACTTGTGATGTTAAGTTTTATGAAAACATTGTTCCTTTTAAGATGAGTACAATTAGGTTAGATGAGTCTAGTATTGATGGTGTTAATAGTTTAAATTTCTTTTATTATGTGTTTGGTTCATATAATGACTTTGTTGGTTCACCACCCAATGATGAGGATGGAGACCATTCTAATGATAAGGATTCTCATCAGCCCTTCTCTACCCCTAGTGACCATAGTTTTCTAGGTAGCCAACTAGAGCTGCCAATAGGCAGTCTCTAGGCAGCTCTAATGATTCAATTGATCAAGGTTCTTCTCATGAAAATGACCTTGAAAGAGTTACCAGTTGGCAACCTTTGAGTGGCTATCAGTACTCAACGTGATGCTGAAATGTAGTATGAGGAAAATAGTAGAAGTAACAGTGAAACTCAGTCTTTGGGTCTCATCTCTAAGGATACTCAGGTTTTACCTTCATCTTCAACTCAATATGCTAGAAAATCCACTAGGGTGTCTAGTTTTCCTCAAATTTGATGATTTCATTGTTGAAGGAAAGTAAAATATAGGTTGGAAAGGGTTGTGAATTATTCTTGTCTTTCTTCTGAAATTTTTGT